AAATCCCCAACTTCAGAGTTGAAAATTTGGTTGAGGAGGAGAGAGAGAGAAGAGAGAGAGAGAGATTGGGTTTAGGATTATGGAGGAAGCTAGGGTTTGGTTTTCTTGATTAGAGAGAGAATATCGAAATTAGTTGACGATAATAAGGTTGTTTTTAATAGAGAGAGAGAGAGAGAGAGAGAGAGGCAAGTTGCAGAGACGACTCGGGTTGGTAGTTCGTTCAAGTTTCTTGAAACGACCAAGTAGAGCATACCAGCATGCACTTGTTTAAGAATAAACACATAATTTATTTTAATTTTTTTATTAATATCATTAAATATAGATTAGTGACTAATTATGGATGGATTGTTACGGTGGTATATATTTTGTGGGTCTTAAATATTTTTCCAAAAAACAATCAGTGTGTTTGGTTTTAGTTTTCTGAATTTAGTTTTTTAAAAATTAGATTTTTTATTTTTCGATTTTTATTTTTAGTGATAATTTTTAAAGTTTTAGCATTTTTTTTACTTTTTTAGATGCACCTTACTTAGATGTATCTAATAATAAAATATTTGTAAAAAATATTTTAAAAAATTTATAAATATATAAAAATACGAAAATTGAATTCAAACCTATTTGGACAACCACTCATGATATATATCTATCATATCATGATATGGATAGATGATATAGATATCAGATATTATCTCATTTAACCAATGGATAAATGAGATAAATAGATTATATATCTGATATATGGGATATGGGTGATTAAGTGGAAAAACAACGTATGTTTGTTTTTTTTAAGATACTGACTCTCTCCCAAAATAACGATAAAAGCCATTTGCACTGTGGTTTGTGTGGGTGATATTCAATATTGTAATATCACTTCACTGCTGGGTTGATTGACTAGATTCAGGAAACACGTGATTTATCCACAAGGTTTTAGATCAAAAAAAAGGTATGATCTAAACATTTTATTCCGCTGCATGTTTTGGGTTTTGATTTACATAGACAAATTATAATATTTCACTAGTCACGCACATGAGCACGCGATCTTCCTAATCTACGAGATAATTTCTAGTGATTCACAATAAAAAATATAAAAAATAAAAAGTTAAACTGTGGTTATAAATATATTTTTGTTAAAATGCATTATGGTAAATCACATTTTTTTATATGGTTTTTACTCATAAATTAGATTTCATGCATTTTTTTATAAGGTTTTTACTCACATTTATTTTTTCTTTTTCTTTTTTCAAATTTTTTTGCAAAGTTTTAGACTTTTTACCATTATTATTTATGTAAAAGTACCAAATCTAGGAGTGGTCAACATAACCTACATGACTACTATTCACTCGGTTTATTTTTAATTTTCAGAATTCACTGTTCAGGAAATTTTACATTTTTCATTTTTCGTATTTTTTTTTACTGAATTTTTTAATATTTTAAGCAATTTTTTTAATTTTTAGGCACACCTAACATAAATATACTTAAAAAGTATAATATTTGTGAAAAAAAATCTTTAAAAAATTCACTAAATATCAAAAATACAAAAAAATATATTTATAAACTCAGTACATTTTTCGTATTTTTATATATTTATAAATTTTTTAAAATATTTTTTCACAAATATTTTATTATTTAGATACATCTAAGTAAGGTGCATCTAAAAAAGTTAAAAAAAATGCTAAAACTTTAAAAATATTCACTAAAAATAAAAATAAAAATCAAAAAATAAAAAATTTAATTTTCAAAAAACTAAATTCAGAAAACTAAAACCAAACACACTGATTGTTTTTTGGAAAAATATTTAAGACCCACAAAATATATACCCACCGTAACAACCCCATCCATAATTAGTCACTAATCTATATATAATGATATTAATAAAAAAATTAAAATAAATTATGTGTTTATTCTTAAACAAGTGCATGCTGGTATGCTCTACTTGGTCGTTTCAAAAACTTGAACGAACTACCAACCCGAGTCGTCTCTGCAACTTGCCTCTCTCTCTCTCTCTCTCTCTTAAAAACAACCTTATTATCGTCAACTAATTTCGATATTCTCTCTCTAATCAAGAAAACCAAACCCTAGCTTCCTCCATAATCCTAAACCCAATCTCTCTCTCTCGCTCAACCAAATTTTCAACTCTGAAGTTGGGGATTTTGGAATTCGAGTTAGGGGTTTGAATTATTGTGTTCTGCAATATATGGATCTTCAACTGCTGAACAAGGGCTTGAATTTCTCTCGGAGAAGGAAGAAGTGGCTTATCGCTTTTGCTTTGTTAGGTGTTTCCAGTTATGGTTGTTATAAGGTTTATCACTTGCCCTCTGTGGCGAGGAAGAGGAAGAGAATTTTCAAGCTCTTGGGAGCTTTCATTTCAATTGCCGAAATGGTTTCCGATTCCGCGGATACAATTGGTGTTGTCTCCAAGGACCTCAAGCATTTTTTGCAGTCTGATTCTGACCAAATTCCCACTAGTTTGAAGCAATTGTCCAAAATTGCATTGTCAGAGCAGCTTTCACAGTCACTGATTAGGGTTTCTGAGGCTATGACAGTTGGGATTTTGAGAGGGTATTATTGTTCGGAGACCAGAAATGAGATTGAACAAGGTTCGAATTCGAGTTTTTCCGATCGGGTTATGGATAAAATCATGTCTACAGCTGGGACTGGATTTGTGTCTGTTGTTGTTGGTAGCTTTGCCCGAAACTTGGTTTTGGCTTTCTATTCGAATGGCCAATCCGATGAATGTTCGAATGGGGACGGACTAGTCTGTGCATCCCATGGTTTTGGGTCGGACTCATTGGCTTTGCCTGAATGGTTAAATGTTGTGTCGAGCGATAAGTGTAAACTACTTATAGCTGATTGCATCCAGAATTTTGTCAGCACAGCAGTTGCTGTTTATCTTGACAAAACAATGGATGTTAACGTATATGATCAAATGTTCTCTGGGATTACAAATCCCAAGCACCAAACCAAAGTGAGTGATTTTCTGGTTTCTATTTGCAATGGTGCGGTGGAAACACTTGTGAAAACATCTCACCAAGTACTGACAAAGTCAAAATCCAATCCAGACTCGAGTTCAAGTTATTCTGCTTCCATTGATGATCAAAGCACAGGTCCGAGCGGAATAAGGGAGGAGTTTCCTGAGCAAGTATCGCCTTCCTCAGAACTGAAACTGAAAAGCATGTCTAATGAGATTCAAAATAATGGGTGGGTGAGTACTGTTTCATCCACATTGACAGTCCCAAGCAATAGGAGGTTTTTGCTTGATGTGACCGGGAGGGTGACGTATGAAACAATTAGATCTCTCGTGGAATTTTTCTCGTGGAAGGTATCGGATGGTATGAAAAGAAGTCTTAATGTAGTTCATGACGAGGTTGTGGACAGAGGGCTAGAAGTTATCAGATATGTTTGTGTTAAGTCTTCTGTTATTGTTACCATATGTCTTGTGTTGTATTTGCATATCATGGGTGGTACTAGGGCTCTGTTGCCTGCTTAAATTGATTATTTGTTTCCTGCAGAAACTATTCATATATGAGGAAATCTTATTGACATCACTTTTTTTTTTCTTTTTTTCGCCCGGGGGGGGGTTTTTTTTTTTTTTTTTTATTTTTTTATATCATTGTCTCTGTTATTTAGCATGGAATATTGTGAATTTACTGGCAGAAGTTTTAGGTTCTGTGACCATAGTTTTCAGTTGGTAGTGTTCATGGGCATTCAATATTGAATACTTTATAAGAAGGAAAGGCTAAATTTTGTTTGCTTTTTGTGAATTCTGCAAGTGCATCTCTTTAGTGCTGTGGGAAGAGAACTTAAACATTTGCGCAACGTTTAACGAGTCATTTGAACCAGGAAATCGTCTGTAAATATGTGAACGTGGTATGCTCCGATTTATTGGCTTTCATCAAGAAGAGGTCTTAAAGTGGAAATTGTTCAGTGTGAAAGAGAATCAAGAAGCAACAACTAGCCTCCTGGTGCTATCTTGGTGACTTGTCCAAAATTTCTCCTAAGCCAACAGTGACTTATCTTTTTTTTCCCTTTTTTTTATGGGGTGTGTGGGGGAGGATCGAGTTCTGTGTCTTAAATTGCAATAAGGGTTACAAGCAGGGTGATTTTGTCAGCTGCCTCTACTTAGATTAAGCTCGTGAATGTTACCTTTCCTGTTGTTTTTGCAATGGTGTAAAACTGCAACTGTATAAAACCAGAATAGAATTTGAGATGTAGGTTTCATTTCTTTATTATGATATGCATGGGGATCACCTTGTAGCCTAAATAAAATACTTTTCTGGAAGCCTTTGGTAAGCTGTTTGGATGTCTCAACTGTTAGAACCTTATACCGCTTCACTTGGCTGGTTATTTTCTCCATTTATCTTGAATTTCTCAGATATACTTTTTTAATAAAGGTTGCAAACTATAAAACTTAGCTTTTAAGATCTAACACATTTGTGCAGCGTACAGCTCATTTAAGCAAGCCATGAAGCTAAGACTGTTCACTTTTGGTCTTCTTTGAGGCTGTGGTTTCTATTACTCTGCAGCTGACTGTAAAGTCTTTCTTTTATCCTCTTTGTCCTTTTTTCTTATATGATTTCATATGACTCAAATTTCTTTGTAACATTGGATGATCATACTTCACATGTCTCTAGTGTCATCATCAAGAACTTGATTAAGCTGTGGAGTTTTAGTCCTGAAGATTTTGGATCAAAAGTATGTGGATGTTTTTAGAACTGAGTTTGTGACTGGTTGCAAGAACATAACAAGGTATGCTACATGGTTTTTGGCTAGTGCTATTCTTTATACTATAGTTTGCTTAACCAATTTAATATCAATACCTCATTCATCATTATATTTTAATATCTTCAGTTGCATTTGGATTTTTTTGAACTACTTTTTTTCAATATCAACTCATGCCCCTGATGATAATTTTTGAACTTTTTTGTACAATCTTAAGTTCACTTTGTGTGTGCATTGAAATTGTAATTTTTGTCCACACCGTACAATGAAGTAGCTTTCTTAACTGGTTTTTTTATTCGTGTGTTATTATGGGTAGTGATCATCTCAAGGAATTTTATAATTGGTTATTATCTAAACTAAATTTCAGTTATTACAAAATGATGTGAATAATATTTTCACTTTCTCACAAACAAACAAAAAAAGAAGAAAAAAGCACAGTGATGTGAATCATGTGATTGTAGATTATGATAATAAAGTGCAGTATGATGATCTATCCTGGGAAAGACCTGAACAGTATCATTATAAAGTAATTGCAGTAGAAGCTAGTTTTGTTGATCAGAATTTAATCATTTAGAGCCATATGTACCTTTAATTACTAGATATTTTATTCTATAAAGATTGGTGTTGATCAAATGAGATAGTATTGTCTTGAAGGAGTTTTATGTTGTAAGTGCTTATGATTCTATCAAATCATTCCATTAAAACAAGATGTACGCAGCTTTGTGTTTGGTCATTGTGATTAGATTGTTTGAAGTTTTGAGGGGTGAGTTTTTGGACTCATTTTGTTAGTGAAGCATGCTGGTAACGTGGACCTTAGTATTTGACCTGAAAATGATGACCCAATTTAGAGTACCCATCAAATTATTTAGACAAACAGCCCCTCGACCCCTCTTATTGATTTTTCTTTGTTTCTTCCCTGGTATTTATTTTTTATTTTTTATTTTTTTTGTCATTTTGCAAAGAAGAAATGGAAAAGCTATGTACCTGGGAAAAAAAATATATTTTGAATATGATAACCTTTAAGAGTATGTCAATTAGGAGCCAAATATATTATTTTCTAGTAAGAAAAGTGAACCGTCTAAAATGCAGCGACAGTAAGATGATTCTTAGAGAGAGCTTGACGTCTCAACATAGGATTTTGGTACTAGATTTGTGCCTTAAAGAGTAATACCAAGTTAGGAAGGATAGTGGGCGTCGTAGGATAAGATAGCGAGACTTAAAAGGGAATAAATTAAAAATATTTAATAATAGAATGGATAAAGAAGGTACTTGAGATTTTGAAGATGATGCTAACATTATGTGGAACTCGATGGGAAATTGTATGAGGAGAATCTCAAGAGAAATTCTTGGAGAGTCAAAAGGAAAGGGACCCAACTCTAGGAAAACTTGGTGGTGGAGGGAGGAGGTTCGAGTAGTAATAAAGATGAAAACAAGTGTTTTAAAAAGTGGCAGAATGATAGAATTAAGGAAACCTTAAGTGTTACAGATTGGTTAATAAGGAGTTCAAAAAAGTAATTAAAGAAACTAAGTTAAAAGTCTACGATGACCTATACACTAGACTAGATAGTAAGGAAAGAAAGAAGATGATATACAAACTTACTAAGATAAGAGAGAGGAAAACAAGATATTTTAATCAAGTGAAGTGCATCAAAAGTGAGAACTTTAAAGTGTTGGTGAAAGATGAAGAGATTAAGGAGAGGTGAAAGAATTATTTTGAGAAATTGTTAAATGAGGAACATGGAGATAGGTCAAAAGAGGAGGAAGTAGTCAATAATACGGAAAACCATGGCTACAGGTTCTATTGTAGGATTAGAAACTTTGAAGTGAAGATTGCACTTAAGAAGATAAAGTCGAATAAGGCTGTAGGACCCGATGATATATCTATTGAAGCTTGAAAATGTTTGGGTAAAAAGAGGGTGGCTTGGTTGCCTAGGTTATTTAGGTAGATTTTGTTGGTTAGGAAAATGCCAGAGGAGTGGAGGAAAAGTATCTTAGTACCAATCTATAAGAATAAATGAGATGTCCAGAACTGTAACAACTATAGAGGAATCAAGCTAATATGTCATATAATGAAAGTGTGGAAGAGAGTGATGGAACGTCGATTGCGAGATATAACAGAGGTATTAGAGAATCAATTTGAGTTTATGCCTGGTAGGTCAACAATGAAAGTGATATATCTTTTGAGAAGAGTAATAGGAAAGTATAGAGAAAAGAAAAGAGACATTTATATGATTTTTATCGATCTTGAGAAAGCATATGATAGAGTGTCTCATGATATAATTTGGTGGGTGTTAAAAAAAAAAAAAAAAAAAAAGCTTGACAAAAGGCTATATTGATATGATTAGGGATATGCATGAAGGGGTGGTGACAACTATTAGATCGCTGGTTGGAGAGACAAGTAAATTTTCAATTACTGTAGGGTTACATTAAGGATCAACGTTAAGTTCTTATCTTTTTGTTTTAGTTATGGATAAGTCGATGAGAAATTTTTAGGATAATGTGTCATGGTGTATGTTTTTTGCAGATGATATTGTGTTAGTAGATGAGACTAGAGAAGGAGTTAACACTAAGTTGGAGACTTAGAGAAAAGAACTTGAATTTAAAAGATTTAGGCTAAGCAGAACTAAGATAGAGTACATGAAGTGTAATTTTAGTAACAATAACAATGGAAGCAGATGAGAAGTGAAGCTTGAGGACCAAACACTATCTAAGAATGAACATTTTCGTTATTTAAGATTGATTATAACAAAGGCTGGGGAGATTGAAGCGAAATGTGGTCTATATAATTAAGGTGAGATAGCTTAAGTAGTGAAGTACATCTAGAGTACTGTGCGATAAACGAGTATTCACTAGACTAAAAAGGAAGTTCTGTAGGACGATTATTTCTATAGAACGACTATTAAACCAGTGATATTGTATGAGACAAAATATTGGGTGACTAAGAAACATGTAGATAAGAAATGTTGCTGAGATTAGAATGCTAAGGTGGATGTGTGGTAAGACTAGAAAAGATAGAGTTAGGAATGAGTATATTCGAGAATGGGTAAGAGTAGTACCGATAAAAGATAAGTTGAGAGAGAATAGATTGAGATGGCTTGATCATATACAACGAAGACCAATAGAGGCAGTAATGGAGAGATGTGATACTGTGATGGTAGATCGAAGTATTAAGGGAAAAGACAGACCTAGATTGATGTGGACTAGTGTAGTAAATATGGATATAAATTTCCTTAATTTGATTAACGATATGGGCTTGGACAAAGTCAAATGGAGAAGAATGATTCATGTAGCTGACCCCATTTGATGGGATTTAAAACTTGGTTTGGTTTGGTTTGGTTTGGTTTGGTTTAGTGTATGGTGTACATTTAAACTTGGTGTAGTGCTTATCATACCTAAAATAAATTTAGTTTACATATTTCATTTTCAGAGTAATTTTCAAACATTTTCTATTCCAGTATCCCTAATGTTACATCTTCAAATATCAATCTCACACTGATTAACAATATAATATAATTAGTTACCCTCTTAATATTGGTGAAATCGATTGAATAGCTGCACTGCCAAGCATAATTTGGTGATGTTTGCTGTTACTTAATCATTATTTCCTCCGTTTTAAAATATTAGTCTCTTATTCTATTTTTTATTGTCTCAAAATATTAGTCCCTTCTCAAAAATCAAGAACTAAAATACTATAAATTTCATATTTTGTCATTCTTTTAAATTTATTAGCAATACAATTATGACAATTGATATTTTTAAAAAAATATATTATCAAAGGGTAGTTTTAGAAAATTAATATTTTTAAAATGTACTAATTGTACTAAAAAAAAAAAAAAAGATTCTCTAAAATAAATTATTATTTTGAAACGGAGGGAGTCTTATTTTTTAATTTTAAAATTTTGTGCCAAACGTTTGTTGTAGCTTATGTTCGCAAGTTATGTAGTAAAAATAATTTAGTGATTGAGTAGCTCATGTTTGATGCAGTCACAAATAACCTTTTCTTTTTGGCCACATTCCACTTTCTGTCGCTTATATATCGTAAATATACTATTCACTAAAGACACGAATATTTGTGCCAATATTATACTCTCGCAAAAAATCTTGGTTGCGTTTGGTAGAACTTTAAAATTGTGATTTGAGAATAAAGTTGTATTTTGAGTTTGTGAGTGTTGGAATTATGATTTGAAAGAAAAAATTTGTTTGGTTATGAGTTTTAAAAAGATTTTTGAATTGAGTTTTGAATTTTTGATGTGACATATGAAAAGAGAAAATTTATTTAGTTATGAATTTTGAAAAGAATTTTTAGAACTTAATTCAAAAATTTATAACCCATAATCAAACACACAACTTAAAACTCTATTGAAAATTTTATTCAAAACATATAATCACACTTTTTTTAAAATTCAGTTCAAAAACAAAATGATTTGTCATTTTGGTCTAAAAAAATAATTTCTATATCTAAAAAATATAAAAAATAAATTTTTTTTCCCCAAATAACAGGTGGCGATTGGTAAATTGCACAAAAAAATTTGTATTATTTTGGTCAACCGGCCGAACGTC